AGAAATTCGATAGCGAGACAATTCGATAGTCTTACATGTGGCAAAAATTATAAATTTGAATATAGAGACGCATATATAGCTATATGACATATATCACGTGCTTTCCGTATATTTTATTAAAACGTAAAAAATCGTTATTTACGGATAGATTTCTTCTAGAAACAATATCAACTAAATAAGGTAATTTGATATACAATGCATAGAATGCAAATAAGGTCCTCTAGAGTTTTTATTATATCTCGCAATATTAATCTAAATAATTTCTATATTTAGCCTTGGATTGTATCCTATAATTTGCCGAACGTTTTTTCTTTCTTCCTCTCTATCTATCTATCTATCTATCTATCTATCTATCTATCTATCTATCTATCTAAAATAATTTCTATATTTAGCCTTGGATTGTATCCTATAATTGTTTTTTCGTTTTTTCTTTCTTCCTCTCTATCTATCTATCTATCTATCTATCTATCTATCTATCTATCTATCTATCTATCTATTTATCTATCTATCTATCTATATATCTATCTAATTATCTATCTATGTATCTATCTATTTATCTATCTATCGCTTTCTTTATCTCTTCTTTATACACACACACATATTTTATATTATTCTATCTATCTATCTATCTATCTATCTATCTATCTATCTATCTATCTATCTATCTATCTATCTATCTATCTATCTATCTATCTATCTATCTATCTATCTATCTATCTATCTATCTATCTATCTATCTATCTATCTATCTATCTATCTATCTATCTATCTATCTATCTATCTATCTATCTATCTATCTATCTATCTATCTATCTATCTATCTATCTATCTATCTATCTATCTATCTATCTATCTATCTATATATCTATCTAATTATCTATCTATCTATCTATCTATTTATCTATCTATCTATCGCTTTCTTTATCTCTTCTTTATACACACACACATATTTTATATTATTCGGAGAGAAGAATCCTGAAATTTTTTAAATGCAATCCATGTGATAATCGGGTGATAACAGCACGTGAAAACAACATGTTGCAATACATCTGTTATTGATACGATATTTCATTATAAGAAATCGATATAGTAATATCGCGACTAATAGCGAGTGCTTTTCCTGGAATAATATATATATAACATAAAACAGCTATCTTAAATGCACACACGAATGTCACGCGATAATATCAGTTTTGCGCGAATTGTCACTGTGCTACGTCAGCATAGCCGCGACTTCCACGTGATCGCTATTCGCGATCACAACCGGACCGTAGCTACCCGTTTATCTCATTATTAGACAAGCAGCTGCTCGTGATGCAAATAATTATACATAAGCCTGTCGCGCGCAACAATTACGATGACAGTGAGGGTTTCGTAACGCGCAGCGAATATCTTTTTGTTTGACGTGTCACTCTTAATTTCGCTAAATATGCTCTTAAAGGCCACTCATTATTTTTCTAATACGATGATCTATTTCACATAAAGGAACGTAGCTATCCTACACACAGAATTTGCGAAGCATGTCAACGTTCTAAATCTATAAATCATAAATCGTATTTAAAACTAAAAATCTTTTTGTGAACGGTAGGTGAACGAGTCCTATGTTTTAATGGGAAGAGGGAGCCTTGCATCTCCAAAAATTCTAATTACATCGGCATAAGATTTTCGTCACGTGGCACGCATCATTTACAGAACGAAACAAATTGCAAGCGAATTGCAAGCGAATTGCAAACGAAATTACGAATAGCGAGCGAGTATCCGCTCGAGCCAACGGAGCCAGTATGCATCGCATGTCGCGCGCCGTATAATTAAGCCGCGATATTTCCACCGAATACAAAACATACAATTATCTCATCTGGATTACAGTACCGTGCTCCTTAATACCGAAACCTACATACATTGTACGCGGATTGCGACTAAGATACCGCCCGTGGCTGGTCGCGCTACAATTTTCTGCTCCTTCGTTTCTAGAGCGACGGAAAGAGAATGGGATATAATTAGGGATTGTGCAGAGACAGCTACTTGATTAAAGTTAACCGGTAACATCTCTCTCTCGGATGTAAAATGAGATTTATCCTAAATATGCATACAATTTATCTTCGCGCTTTCTTTAATTAATAGTTCTAATTTTCAACCATATTTCTATATCTTTTCACAACAAACTAAAAAATCTATCGCGATTTTTGTTTGTTATGTCCCTATAATAATGATAAACAGACTCTATTTCAGCATATTTGAAGTGATTGAAAGGAAATAACACAGAGAAAATAATAGAAGAAATATTGAAAGGATTTATTTATATGTAACGTATATATAATAATTAAATTTTATATCGGTAATGTAGTTGGATTATTGTTTTATTATAAATACATTCATGCCTCAATAATCGTTAAAAAAAAATTAATAAAAATTAATTAGAGAGAAAAAATATGAGAGGCACGGCTTCGTCGTTGCATATTTTTGTATTCGCAGAAGCAGCTGCAAGCACGACATGTGGATCGCGGGATCTATTTTAGTCCTTGCCGCGATTTGCATTGTGCACGAGGACGTTGCGACGAGTTTTTGCGAAAACTTCATATCTCTCGCGGTGCTCCTTTTTATAAGCGCCATCGATATTAATGATTATCCCGTACTTAAAATCACGCGGAGCGCGCAATTATTCGGTATCAGTGTTCTTTTATTAATTAATAAAAGAAGTGCCGCGTTATCTGACGCGTCATCCTTCCGGATTCTTGTAGAAACGGATGACTAGGATCGAAGGAAGATGATAATCATCGACGTTTTATTGATCGGCGAAGCTTCGATGTGTACTTAGATCTTAGATCAATTTATCAGCGCGATTTATACGGAGAAAAAGAGAGAGATGGACGTACGATTAATGCGTCTTATGTAATTTTCTCTCATGATGGGAAATAAAAAATAAATATATATGTTCTTTTATTATATATACATATATATATATATATAATTTACGGCAACCGTAAAGCAAAGTAATTGTCGCGCGCGACGCAACAGGCGGGTGTTAAACGTCACGCGCGGTTGGCTTATCGAATATAAATTCGCTCGTGCGAGAGAAAACGCCCTCGTTCTCCTTCGATCCTCACAATGAAGTCTTCGGGTATATCTGGGCGCACGATCGAGGCTTAGCATTGTGTGACAAAGCCGGTTACGGGATCGAGAGATTCGCGATTATCGGGCATATTGTCGGCACAGCACGCTACGTCTCGTCGCTCGTGTTGATCGTGTTAACAATCGCGATAACGAAACCTAGATCGGCTTATTCCGGGGTGAAGACTGAGCTCGATCCCGTAAAGTTATCCACCGTATCATTACGAGCGGCTTTACTCTCGGATATCGAATGACATTATATTGGAGATATATTGGAAGAGAGAGAGCAAGTTATCTCCGATCATTGAAAGAAGAATACAAATTATTGGATATACAAAGTTTTTTCTCTCAGAAAAAATAAGACGTAAATATAACCAATATAATTATTAATTTTTTTCATATTACAAGAAATCTGATATATATATATATATATATATATATATATATATATATATATATATATATATATATATATATATATATATATATATATATATATATATATATATATATATATATATATATATATATATATATATATATATATATATATATATATATATATATATATATATATATATATATATATATATATATATCAGATTTCTTGTAATATGAAAAAAATTAATAATTATATTGGTTATATTTACGTCTTATTTTTTCTGAGAGAAAAAACTTTGTATATCCAATAATTTGTATTCTTCTTTCAATGATCGGAGATAACTTGCTCTCTCTCTTCCAATATATCTCCAATATAATGTCATTCGATATCCGAGAGTAAAGCCGCTCGTAATGATACGGTGGATAACTTTACGGGATCGAGCTCAGTCTTCACCCCGGAATAAGCCGATCTAGGTTTCGTTATCGCGATTGTTAACACGATCAACACGAGCGACGAGACGTAGCGTGCTGTGCCGACAATATGCCCGATAATCGCGAATCTCTCGATCCCGTAACCGGCTTTGTCACACAATGCTAAGCCTCGATCGTGCGCCCAGATATACCCGAAGACTTCATTGTGAGGATCGAAGGAGAACGAGGGCGTTTTCTCTCGCACGAGCGAATTTATATTCGATAAGCCAACCGCGCGTGACGTTTAACACCCGCCTGTTGCGTCGCGCGCGACAATTACTTTGCTTTACGGTTGCCGTAAATTAATTTTAATGATCCGCCTGTTATGATTTATTACGTGAGATCATATGCGCCGGGTCCGTTCACTTTACAAATGACTTGAGAGGGCGTATACCTTCAAACGGTGAAGGCAATGCATATATATTCTCAAAAAATCTTGTTTGTAAAGATTTTTACAAAATTTTTGTAAAAAACAAATTTTTTATTCTTTGATTATTATAATAATTGTTTTATTAAAATATTCAATCCGTATAAAGATTTGAAACGTTTATCGTAGACTTCTACCTTTTTAAGAAGTAGCATTTTTTGAAGAAGATTATTGCAAGTTTAATTGTAGTTATAATAGCACTGTCAATAATCACTGTCATTGTGAATATGAAATTCTTTCTTATAAAATGTATTTATTAATAGAATGTATATAACGGAAACGTGGAGAGGTAACCGCAGAACAATAGAGAGATACGTTTTTAACGCTTTTTTTTTATTCGCCCGTCAGATACAAACTTGAGCTTCGTCCGATAAAGAAATCTCGCGTGTCGCCCATCTTTAAAACCATGTGCGTCAATAGAGAAATAAAATGGAAATCAATCGGTGAAGAATGGCCGCTTCATTGGCATAAATTATCAGCCGCTCGTATTGTTTTGCGGAATTAATTAATTCCATGCGCGTCGCGAAACGTGCAACGTGTAATCATCGTCTTTTAAATAAGGCATTTTTTATGTTATGCTTTAATCTACATCGTCTTCGTTTCGCTTTTGCAGGATGGTGCTAGTGGTGGGCGGGGTGGTCCTGCAGGAGGAAATACCCGCGGACAGCAGATCTTTGTACGCGGCCCACCCGGTATACCGCGAGAGCGCGGCCCAGCTGCACTCGATGCTGGTGAAACTCGTGGGCCCGGTGGGCCTCCTCTACGTCCAGCAACGAGAAATGGCTGCGACTCTGCCGCAAGACAGTAAGCGCGATGTGTCGTGTTTAAGCGATCCTCTTTTTGTGGCAGCGCAGTTCGATAAAAACGCTCACACAGTGCACACGCATGGAGATGAAAGAGTTTCACGTGAGAGTTACACAAACGCGCCGACAGAAAAATAAATCTCGCGATAATAGGATATATGAACGATTTCTATGTTATCGTACAATTTATTGGCATCATCGTCGCTAAGCAATCCTACGGTCATTAAGCTCGAGAAAATGCGTGTTAGATAAAATACATTAGTCTCTATAGAAGACTCGCGTTCCAGATAAAATGACCCCATCGTATATCTTGAAAATTTATCATTACATACGGAAAAGATGATGATTTAAGTAATAGAAGAATAATTCTTCACATTTAAATTGACATTATAAAAGGCGCGACTTTTTTTTTCATATAATAATTGAAAACCTATCATTAGATATGGAAAAAATGATAATTTAAACAATAGAAGATAATTCTTTGTGTTTCCTTCTTATAATAATTTTTTTCTCTATCTCTGATATTATTAAAGTACATATATATGCGTGACGAAATGTTATTAAAATTGCTATAATCGCAGAAATGTATAATAAGCATGAAACTTTAAAGGCGAAATCTCTTTTCGAAAAACAATTCGTCGTATCTATCAAAAGAACATGTCACTGATGCAATATAGCCACGGGATCTCCGTGTTATCTCTCGATATGTTATAACGAACTGTGTTACCGGCACCTTTTGCGATATCGTTGCAAGATTGACGCAACCCGCCACAATCTACCAACTGTGATTATACTTGATTATCAGAGAATCAAAAAAATTAATGCGCGAAATGATAAATCGGCGGATGCTGTTACGGAATGTTATTTCTCGTGTTATCGGAGTAAATTACAGTTCAATTTTTTTTGATGATATAATTTTTAAAAATAACGACGATTTGTCTGATTGCTACAATAATAAAATTGTACCATAAATTTTGCACCGAAGCATATTTGTCTATATTGCTTTGTTAAATCACGGTAATATATTGCAATAGCAATTTAATTTTTTTTTTTTTAGCGTATTAAATCTTTATCCTACAATTTTTTATTACAGTATATTACAAAAATATCGCATAAAAAGCGATGTTCTTCTCGTGCGTCTTTAGCACTTTGTGCTAAAAAATACATCAAACGTAGAAATCAACGAATTATATATGTGTCAAGTTCTCTCTCTAAATTATCTGTTTTAATTATGCAATTTTTGAAATGGTTTGAAATCGTTTCTCGTGTAACTTGAAAGATCTTGATATAGAGATATAGAGATATACATCAATATTTGGAAATCACAAAAAAAAATTTATCTTACATAATCATGGAAAATTTCTATTGCATCGGCGAGCAATCCTAAAAATCTATAGCCTCTCAAAGTGCTGTATTTATATTCGCTACCGCACTAACTATTCTTTTTCGCTTTCACAGAGAACGTGAACATCCTCGGTTCGGACGATATGACCACGTGCATAATCGTTGTCGTCAGGCATTCCGGTGAGTATATTTGAAAGTACAATCGCGATCGTTATAAACTAGTCAGTTGCATATAAACGACCGTTCGCGACGCAGTTAGGTGAAAAAAAGAGGTCAGAATAACGCAACGACAAAGCAAGATTGTCCGATCTATACGGCGTCATTGAAAAATGTCGATTATTTCTAATTATTTTTTGTAAAACTCGTACTTGAACATTCATGATAAAATTAAAGTTGAAATTGATTTCTTCTAAGCAAGATGCGAGAATCAGCAAGATATATTATTGCAATTCAGAAGCTTAGTTCGCGCAAAACTCTTCATTTTTAATCATTCTGACATTTAAAGAGATAAACTTTAAATCAATTTTGATTAAAAAATTAATGTTTTGCGGTATATCTGTGAAATTATTAAATTATGTGCATCTAGATTTCTTTATTAGAACTGAATAAAAAAGAGATAAAAGATCTCAGCATAAAACTTCTGAGAAAAAGAATGCCGGTTTTTATTCCCTTTGTCCACAGGCTTACAATGGATTTATTTTTCGTTCCACGATATATTATCAGAAGGCGTAAAATGCAAAATGCCTCTTCCTTGGAAAAGATAAGCCGTATATTTAATAGAATCAGTTCTGTCGAACTCAAAGGAAAAAAGTGCTGATTCAATTCACGATTCACATTTATATCCCGAAGTCATTTAAATGACTTGCTAATTCTATATCAAGTTCGAAGAGCTTTGAGGAAATAATTGCGCGATTTGTAAAATAATGAGCCGTATTTTCATAATTTTTTATAAAGATAATTGTTACGTAAGCAATGTAGCTATGTACAATTGAAAACCTAATAGTGTGATTTCAACCTTAACATATCTCACATAAAGGACAAAAAATTTATTCTACGAAAAAGTAAAATGTAAAATTATAGTTATAAAAGAAATTTAATTTTATATAGCGAGATAAAAAAAAAGATTAAATTCTCAAGTGACTGTTATCATAATCTTGAACGTGCTCATAAAAAATCTATTCAAATTACTATTTCTCTTCTCCAACAAGCAATAATTTTTATTCAAGTTGAGACATTTATAACTAACAATAAATATGAACCACACACACGAAGCTCCATAAATGTTGCTTTTCCGTACTATAACGTATTTCATCTTGTATAAAAGAACCCATCAACATTGTACTGTACATCTCGATAAAACTATCGAGTACGTTCTCCTTAGCTTTCTCCTGCTGCGGCGACAGTGCATCGCGACTCAAGCTGGGTGTCTCCGATCGTTTTAAGGTTGCGCGTGAATAATGGCCGAGGTAGAAAGCGACTTCGAAAGTACGTAATTAAGTAATAGTTCGCAATATAAAAGTGTTTTTATTGCGAGTTTTTCCCATCGAGTGTCTTGCGCAATTGTCATACAAGAATATTCAGAAATTAATTATTAACGGGTTTATAGATATTAATAATAACAGGAATATATATATATACACATTGTCAAGAATCCGTGCCAGCATTGCAAGAACACACGCGCGTTTTAACTACTACTATTCTCTCTTTTCGCATTTCACTCCGTTCCACTTCATTCAAGATGTACGGCGATAAATCGCATCTAGTGAACGCGCTGGGATCGACCCTCGAAGGCGCTTCTCGGACACATCCTGTGCTGAATTATTTCAGTGCATCGTGTACAACATGAGTGCTCTTAACCATTTCGTTCGTTCGATGCAACGATGCAATAAACGGCGAGAAAGACCCGATACGCCGGCTCGCTCGCGATAATTACTACGCCGCGGTAATTAGCGAGCCGGCTCGGTAGCGATGTTTAAACGCTCGGAAATTAATTTTCCTCTTAATCGGTACATTCTTTGCGAGAAGAGATATGTAGCGACCGGTCGCACAAAGCGCGCAAACGGTGATAATTTTTTTATTTTTTTTATTTGGGTATCTCGATGTTTTTCTCATTTGACTTTTTAATGGGAGTAAACAAGCTATCCATATGTATTAATAACAATAATAACAATAGATAAAAATAACGAGTACAGAATTTATCTGTTCTTGCAGTGGGATTAGTTTGTAGGCGAACATTTAATTATTACCATAAATATACTTTATATTTAATCATAATTTTAAACAAGCATATTTCCTTCGTGTTCTTATATCATAATAGCCAAGTACAATCGCACACTGTTTTACTGTTGTAAAAGATTTTCAATGTCACATATCTGGATTTCAGGTTCAGGCGCCGCAGCATTGGCGCATCTTGACGGCTCTGGAACAGAAGATGCTGCAGTGGCGATGATCCAGAGGGTAACGGAACTCACCCTTGGATATCCCGAAGGTCGGCTGGAATTGCAGTTGGTCGGTGGTTACTCCGACCCGAGAAACTATTCCGAGGAATTATTTTACACTATACTTTGTAAGTAGAAATGTTTTTTTTTTTTTAATATATAATGTGGAATTTTTCTCTCAGTAACGCGCTTGTTTAACGAAAGTAGAAACATTTTTGGCTTATAATTACTACATCTGCAAATATAATCAGCTAGATAATTATATCTGTTCTATCTCATTCGCAAACGTGGTGAATTAAATCGTTTGCTTGCGTTTGGCTCGAGATAAATTAAAGAGATAAATTAAACAGAACACCTACAGAATTTATGTTATATTTCTCGGAAGAAGATTTACTCTGATAAAAATTAATACGATTAATATTAATAATAATAATGTGCGCATTAAACTTTTTATTCGAACAATGATATTAAATTATATAGAAATACCGAAACTTTTTTTCAAGTTTTCTGATAAAATCGAATGAAATTACATACAATATGTCACCACGTTTTGTCTATGACAATAACGGGATCGATGCGGTTTTCAGCTGCATTTCACAAGCAACCGGTGGAGATCGACCTGACGTTATGCTGTGTGGGCGAGTTGAATACCACTGTGAAAGCTGGGATTCATTGGCCGGTGATCTACGGCATCGGGCTGAACGTGAAGACAGGCGAGATCTTTCCCGCGTCTTTCCCCGATAAAGGCCCGGATCAGGCGCTGCGGTGCGCCAGACAATTGACCGGGGGTCAGCAGGTGCGTATGTGTGCAACGTTTGCATTTGCAATAGTATTCTATAATTGAGCAAAACTAACGATCTATATAAAAGAGAGAGCTCATACCTCGCGTGTTTGCAAATTATATATATATATATATATATGTATGAGAATAAAATGTATATTTTATTATTTGATTAAGCGTTCTATCAAATTTTATTTAACCCAGTTTTTTGAGCGAATCAAATATATTTGTCTTATTTATGTACAGGTTCTGGATATATACGATTGCGGTCTTGGATTACTTAGAATCGGTCCGTTTAATTATGATCCTTTGCGAGGTGTGGATCTCTGGTTGGCGCAATCCGATCAATTCATTCTGCAACACTTGTCAACGTCACCGGAAGTAGAACAACCACATTTCGTCTCACAAGTAATGCCAATTGATATACTTTTTTATATATGATATTATAAATCGCCTCGAAAGAGGAAGATAAGCAACAAATCCGACTGTGCGCGTTTCTTTTGCTTTGCTAGACAACGACGAAATTTCTGTTTCAGGTACGGGCAACACTCAAGTACATTCAGGACAATCAATTTCCTGCCGTCACCGTCTTCCGAGATAATAAACCTCATTACTATCGCCGAGATGAAATCACTGGTGTCTGGCAACCAATGCGATACTAATCTTAACAAATCGCAGATTCGATTAAGGCTTGCGTGGAAGTTGTTCGCGAAATTTTCGAGTGACGCAAAGTATAATCAAATTGCGGATTAACGAAGTATGCAGAGTCAAAGGAATTTAAATCAATTACTGAAACGTGAAACTGCGTCTTTTGAAAATCGCAGTACCGTCGAGTTCTGCATACCGCAGAATTGGTGCCCTAATAAAATCGTTTTAAAAAAATCGATCTGCATTTATAATTGATGAGAAAAATACGAAATTGGCATATAATTGCAGCTTTTGTCGGCCGGCAATTATTTGTGTTCAATAAAAAAGACGTCCGAGCGGGAAAAAATCGTGAGAATATAGATTAAAACAGTCATAATTAGCGCACAGATTGATGCCTTAATGTCTGTTCACAGTGGAAAATATCTCGTAAACCACATTGAAAACGAGATGCAGATTAGCCTTTGAATATACATTGCCAAGTATATACAATTTGTAATATTTACAAATTAAATTCAAAGAATAGAGCTTATAACTCTGTTATCATAGAGTATAAGCCAAGAAAATAAATTAAAATAAAAATAACTTTGGGAAACAATTTTCCGAAAATTTTAATACGCATTATTCGGCACTGAGATTATGTGTGTGTGCATATACTTATAATAACGCATATTTTTCTTTAAATATCTTTTATATTGGAAAATTATTTTTAAAATAATATTGAGGGATATTTTTTCTATCATGTAATTACAGCAGGATATTTTAAGTCAAATCATTATATGAATTGCATCGCGATCAAAATTGCTTTTAGATAAATTCATATAAAGATTTTTTTTAATTATCCGCAAATTATCATCAAAAATTTCTAAAATCGTATCCGGGTATTTTGCTTGCCAGGTGACAATTCTTTTATAATTCAAAATTTGTAAAACGATATACGACTTTACAAAATCTTACGAAGAAGAAAAGAAACCAAAAAGATAATTTTATAAAGCATGCACACATAAAAATATATTCTTTTCTCTTCTAGCATTTTTTGGATATATTTATATAAAAAGCAATATTCGCGGATATAACATGCAAAGCGCTTCAATCGTGAATAAGCTTGTATGTATTAATATGTTGGCATTGTTGAATTTCTTTTTTGATAGATGCTTATGTTATGTATATGGATAATGATTGAATTCGATTCGTTGTTACAAAATGTTATTAGTCATAAGTCCCTTGTTCCATCATTGAACGTTCTCTCCGGCTTAACTTTTTAGCGATAAAGCAACAATGTGTATTCTCATCGCGCATTTAGTATTAAATGCGATTTAATACTTATTTCATCTTTACATCACGTGCAATCTTCATAATTAAACAAATAATTCAATAGCTGAAAATCACATTTGATGCTAACTGCGCGATTACAGCGCGAATTTACGCACACGCGCGTGGAATTAGGCTCAGGCATTTATCCTTCTTTTTTTTTTCTTTTTATTTTCTTCTTTCAGCTGAATTACGAAAGTTCGAGCAACGAAGAATTTCGTACTTGCCATAATAAAGAAAAGAATGTTGTATGAAAGATAGTGGTGAAGTAGAGAACAATGTACATAATATTTTCAGGGTTGTGCCCGAATTCTTTTCGGGTGAGGGAAAGTTCCTTTGCCTCGACAATATATATATATATGTATGAGAATAAAATGTATATTTTATTATTTGATTAAGCGTTCTATCAAATTTTATTTAACCCAGTTTTTTGAGCGAATCAAATATATTTGTCTTATTTATGTACAGGTTCTGGATATATACGATTGCGGTCTTGGATTACTTAGAATCGGTCCGTTTAATTATGATCCTTTGCGAGGTGTGGATCTCTGGTTGGCGCAATCCGATCAATTCATTCTGCAACACTTGTCAACGTCACCGGAAGTAGAACAACCACATTTCGTCTCACAAGTAATGCCAATTGATATACTTTTTTATATATGATATTATAAATCGCCTCGAAAGAGGAAGATAAGCAACAAATCCGACTGTGCGCGTTTCTTTTGCTTTGCTAGACAACGACGAAATTTCTGTTTCAGGTACGGGCAACACTCAAGTACATTCAGGACAATCAATTTCCTGCCGTCACCGTCTTCCGAGATAATAAACCTCATTACTATCGCCGAGATGAAATCACTGGTGTCTGGCAACCAATGCGATACTAATCTTAACAAATCGCAGATTCGATTAAGGCTTGCGTGGAAGTTGTTCGCGAAATTTTCGAGTGACGCAAAGTATAATCAAATTGCGGATTAACGAAGTATGCAGAGTCAAAGGAATTTAAATCAATTACTGAAACGTGAAACTGCGTCTTTTGAAAATCGCAGTACCGTCGAGTTCTGCATACCGCAGAATTGGTGCCCTAATAAAATCGTTTTAAAAAAATCGATCTGCATTTATAATTGATGAGAAAAATACGAAATTGGCATATAATTGCAGCTTTTGTCGGCCGGCAATTATTTGTGTTCAATAAAAAAGACGTCCGAGCGGGAAAAAATCGTGAGAATATAGATTAAAACAGTCATAATTAGCGCACAGATTGATGCCTTAATGTCTGTTCACAGTGGAAAATATCTCGTAAACCACATTGAAAACGAGATGCAGATTAGCCTTTGAATATACATTGCCAAGTATATACAATTTGTAATATTTACAAATTAAATTCAAAGAATAGAGCTTATAACTCTGTTATCATAGAGTATAAGCCAAGAAAATAAATTAAAATAAAAATAACTTTGGGAAACAATTTTCCGAAAATTTTAATACGCATTATTCGGCACTGAGATTATGTGTGTGTGCATATACTTATAATAACGCATATTTTTCTTTAAATATCTTTTATATTGGAAAATTATTTTTAAAATAATATTGAGGGATATTTTTTCTATCATGTAATTACAGCAGGATATTTTAAGTCAAATCATTATATGAATTGCATCGCGATCAAAATTGCTTTTAGATAAATTCATATAAAGATTTTTTTTAATTATCCGCAAATTATCATCAAAAATTTCTAAAATCGTATCCGGGTATTTTGCTTGCCAGGTGACAATTCTTTTATAATTCAAAATTTGTAAAACGATATACGACTTTACAAAATCTTACGAAGAAGAAAAGAAACCAAAAAGATAATTTTATAAAGCATGCACACATAAAAATATATTCTTTTCTCTTCTAGCATTTTTTGGATATATTTATATAAAAAGCAATATTCGCGGATATAACATGCAAAGCGCTTCAATCGTGAATAAGCTTGTATGTATTAATATGTTGGCATTGTTGAATTTCTTTTTTGATAGATGCTTATGTTATGTATATGGATAATGATTGAATTCGATTCGTTGTTACAAAATGTTATTAGTCATAAGTCCCTTGTTCCATCATTGAACGTTCTCTCCGGCTTAACTTTTTAGCGATAAAGCAACAATGTGTATTCTCATCGCGCATTTAGTATTAAATGCGATTTAATACTTATTTCATCTTTACATCACGTGCAATCTTCATAATTAAACAAATAATTCAATAGCTGAAAATCACATTTGATGCTAACTGCGCGATTACAGCGCGAATTTACGCACACGCGCGTGGAATTAGGCTCAGGCATTTATCCTTCTTTTTTTTTTCTTTTTATTTTCTTCTTTCAGCTGAATTACGAAAGTTCGAGCAACGAAGAATTTCGTACTTGCCATAATAAAGAAAAGAATGTTGTATGAAAGATAGTGGTGAAGTAGAGAACAATGTACATAATATTTTCAGGGTTGTGCCCGAATTCTTTTCGGGTGAGGGAAAGTTCCTTTGCCTCGACAGTTATTTTACGGGGGGACGCGAAATCTCTCCGAAAATTCAAACAGCGAAGATTAATAATTGAATAAAAGTCGTTGATGTCACGCAATAATTTTTACTAACTCATTCTCGTACATACATATATGTTAAAAATACCAATCTTCTTTAATTATTTGAATGTGTGTTAGATACTCGTGAGACACACATTTAGGCGTTCGCGTTTGATCATCATTTACGTCGTAGAATAAACATCCAAGATAAAAGATGCTATGTGTGACAAATCGTTAATTATTGTTTTAGTAATTGTAAACAAAATATACAAATGCATAATAATATGGTGCAATTCGATCAATCTGGAAATCGCGTGAACGTCCTACATAGGTTTTATTGTTACATATTTAGAAAGTGCAGGCGTGCGATTGCGATCGAAAAATTAAAATGACGAGGCCTTCCCTTACCTGTGAATTCATCGATTAAGCGGGAAGGTAATTACTCTCCGGATTGCGTTTGAGAGTACAGTTCCCCAGCCATACAAAAAAGGTTTCTTGTATTTCGATACATGAATACAATTTTCATAGCAGAAAAAATTCAAAAAATTCAATGTTATTGTTAAGAGCGTTCCTCGTCCTTTGAGCGAATATATATGTATATGTGATGAATATATCATTTTTTTTAATGATATTTTAAGCGAAGAGTATATAAAATTTCTTCTACAGCTATGGTCTCGAACTTTTGAAGTAATGCATAAAGGAAAGGTGCGTTTACAATTTTTTATTGTTCTAGTGATATATAAGCTAATTGAGGTTGATATTAATAATAATAATGATGACGCGATGATCAGAATGATATTGCTAATAATGATAATATGATATTTTCTAGAGATCGAAAAGAGATATATTTTTACTATATTATGTAAAAGAGCGAATGCACTCGCGACGATGAAGCTTTCAGGATCGAACATACGACCCTTTTCCCTTCTCATTCGATCTGCGTGAATGGAGGAAGTGTAGCGGGTGGTTTGCCACTTACTTTGTTGCTTCTGGCTGAAGAATATACGGCTTTTCTTGCTAGCTCATAGAAACTTCCCGGTACAGTAATACAATTACATATATATCTCTACTTCTTATGTTCTTTATCGCGCGCGCTCTTTTTTTCCCTATCCCCGGCCTCGTTCTTACAATAGCGTTCCCGTTCGATCTCCTTCGCATTCTTTCTCGCGTTACGCAGACGCAATCTTACTACATAATATTATTTGGTGATATATTTATACAATAAACGATACTAGACTAAAGCAACGTCGTATGTGTTATTTCACGATATCGCATCAAATCAAGTGCTCGAGATGACAACCACAACTGATTGATCCATCGTTAAAAATAATGCTCGCACACTCCTGATTTGGTATGATTTCCGTGATAAATGATCCCCTTACGCGGCTGATTTAATCGCGAAGTGATCGTGAATAACGCGATATTCTATACGCTCAGCTTGAGAAATTGCCGAACGGAAATTGGTAAAAATAAAGTTGTTAACAAAGTTGCTCATTGTTACGTAGTGTGTTGTAAACTATTACATAAGTACAGTGAAACTCGCGAAATTATCGTACCGCAACGAGAAAATACTCTCGAGTATTATGATTTCATATTAGTGAGAATCAAATATCGATTTTAATCGATCAGTAGAGATAATCGCATATATAATTATTATTCGTTCAAATTTTATTCGAAAAAATGAAAAGTAATGAAGAAAGTTTATATTTTAATCTAAACGTTTATTAAGATATAGTGTGTGTACAATATTTTCTATCTTTGAGAGAAATTGTAATTAATATTGTAGCTGGATTATGAAAGCAATTTAATTAACGAAACATATAGAACGTATAAATTGAAGCAAAAAAATTAATTGAATAAGTAAGATTAAATACTTTAGATGCATTATCTTAGTTTATCGTAGAAAAGAAAATTGTTTGAAACTTGTGCATTTTAATTTCTCAATCAAATCTGTAAATTCTTGAAATTTTCAAAATTATTTCTCTCTCTCTCTCTCTTTCTCTCTCCCTCTCTTTCTATCTCTTTTACTCTTTTTTTTTTTAATATCATTGAAATCTTTCAAAAACTAAAAATTTAATATACACAACAGAAATTTTCTATTAGATATATTTGCATCACTATTAATAGAACTTTACGCATATATTTTGTTCAACATTAATAGCTTATGTATGCGTGTGCAGCCTGTTTCCTATTTCCTGGCAGTTATACAAGAAGTTGCTTGATCGTGAGCGGAAGGAAACTTCCGGAAAGTTTGTTATGAATGACTTACAAAGTCTTCCGATATGCTTCGCTCTAGCATAGAATCCAAAATCCGCAGTGAGAAGTTGATAATTGCATTGAAAAGTGATCATCCGGAAATAATATTCGTTCTAGAAATTCTGAAAATTAACTCCGAGCTTTTATTAGGAGGACTGGGTTGTAGAGAAGAATCTTTGAAGCACCCTCGGATGCTATTTGCAAAGCTATTTACTCGATTACAGACACTTACACAATTATACGCGATATATTACGCTGATATCAAAACTGATTGCAAGAAACAATTTCAAAATAGCGTATTTTTATATATAAGCCTCAATACTGGATTCTCTCTCTACATCAAAACGCGTTTTTCTCTCTCTCTCTCTCTCTCTCTCTCTCTCTCTCTCTCTCTCTCTCTCTCTCTCTCTCTCTCTCTCTCTTTCTGTCGACATAGGGTCGCAGCAAATTTCGTGACGTAGTTCTCTATAGCTTTGAAATTTCCACTAAATAACTGAAATTTAATGTTTTGTGGAACTACGGTAATAACATTTAAAAAAGACGCAATACTTATTATTATTATATTTAAATAATGCAAAAATCATTTCTGAGGATTAGTTTGGGGAAAGGTTGAGGAAAAATTTCAATTTTTTACAAGAAGGATATCGCATCCACATATTCTATTACTGAATACTCTAAATCTCCTAAATATTTGAGGGGAGAAAAGAACCGTGAGACTAAGGGTAGGAGAACCCGCGGACGGTGAGTAGTAATGGGTGACGCTGCGCAGACTCCTTGAAAGTGACTCGGCCCGACTCGCAGTAGTCGACATCAAGCGCTTCGCCGACACGGTCAGTGCCGTCTCGTCGTCGGATCGAGGACGAACCCGCGTTCCCGCTCGTCGTGGTCGCGCCACGTTTTCGGCATATCACATTCCGAGGAAGTCCCGGACGAACGCGTCCTTTTCCCGTCCCGGTGAGTTTTTATTACATTCTCTCGATATCATGCGGCTTTTTTATTAAAATTGTTTCGAATTGCGGTACGAATTCGAAAGTTTTGTAAGTTATCTGAGATTGATCAGATTTTCTACGGACCAGATTTTGTCCCGAGAAAGATTCAAAACATCGCGCACGATATAATCATTCTTTCTTTTTAAGCATGTATTTTTACATGCGAATATGTAATGTCTTTATTTCAGACATAAATTAATACACTATAAAATCTGAAATTTAGTATTGGAAATAATATTGCAGGACTGGATTGTAGAAAGAATCATGAAAATAATTTCTAACATCTAATTTTAATAATAGTTGAATTAAGATTAAAGAATCTTTTTTTATATTTTAATTTTAGTAATGTAAATTGTAAGTTTGAAACAAAATTTGAGACCAAATAAAAAGGACACAAAATTTTATTTTTTGATGTCAATTATTTTTCAAATATATGTTTGAAATATGTATCTCAAAATACTCTTTTTGTGGACGAGCAAACAATTTGAATCAATTATAAGTTTTGATTTATTACAACGCATAAAGTTTTCAACGAATCAAACTACTAATAGTTTCCTCAAATTTTCGACGACCTATTAAGGATAATTGTTGGAAAGAATATTTGCTTTATATTTGAAAATATAGCGTTATAGTACATGTTACACATACATGTGCACAGAGATACAAAAACACGTAAAGTCTCGCTTTAATAAAACTAAAATAACATATCTGCTGTAATACACATGGAAGTTTATTTTACTTTAACAAGCATTAATTGATTTTGACGTAAAAAAAAATTCTCACTTCTACATTCAGTAAACGCGATGAACGAGTATTCGTTACGGAACATACGAGTATTCCCGCAGTTCTCAGTAGTAACTCTATTATGTCGAAAGTAGCTGCTCCTCGAAAGTGGAATTGAAAGAAGAATAACGATATTTACGTAACGTGTCGGTTAAACTGCGCGACTCTTACATGTTGCGCGTAAATCGTGAGTCACGGCGCTTAATTGAATTGCGCTAAAATAACGTTAAAAGCGAATTTTCGGTATAGAAGCCAAAATTTTATAATTTCAAATTATAATTTGTATTTTCTCTCCTCGAATTGAAAAAGTTGTAAATATCGGAATATTCCTACATAATAATGACAAAAACAATAGTTTATATACTAAAAATTATCCAGTATAACAATATTATTTATATTTGGGAAAAATAATACAATATTTTTAATATATACAATAAAATATATTCTCTAAAAAATTTTATAATATATTTTATTAAATAAGTGATGTTTTTTAATATTATATCTTTATATTCGAGGGTGAGAGAAAGAAAAAGAGAGAGAGAGAGAGAGAGAAATTGACGTTTGTGATGATGTCTTAGAAAGTCCTTCTACTTGCCTTTGTCGCTTGAGGACGGTATTAATTTCAGAGCGCGTTTAATGATCAATATCTCTGATCGTAAACGTCTCATGAAGCAAGGAGGAAATCACTGAAAATGTCGGCTGCTGGCAAATCGCGGTTTTGTTTTCTAGAACTAATTTTGGCTAATTGCAAATGTTCGTGTCGCACAAAACGCTAATCGACCATCTTTCTTAGAAACGGCAAACAGAGAGTTTCTCCTGATTTAACTTCCGCTTTTGACCGATATATCCGCGGAAAAGCGATTATTGATGAACGAATAGAAATTTACAACCTTAACAATGATGCTACGTTACTTTAAATTTAATATAATTATAAAGCATATTTTTATAGTAGCAGCATGTTATAGTTGGATATTTCTTATTTAAATTAAAACATGATTCCGGCGCGCGTTGGAATATTAAAGCTGTTTGAATTGAAGTAAAGTTTGCCATGAATTTAATCTCAGGTAAATAAAACAATTCCACGCTTCTCATATAATTCCAAATGGTCTTCGTGCGTATTTTGATATAATTATAATTTAATGCTTAAAGTCAAAATAGCAAATTTAAAAAATTATATGAGATTATTATCAATAGCGTCTAATCAAAATTTCCTTTTTTATTTGAAAAAAGACATAAAAAAAAACACGAATTTAAAAGCATTTATGTCAGCTGTATTTAAATCATAGCTATTAGGTGTAGAATATTTTATAATTATAGATATTCTTTTAATTGCATACTTATATTGATCGTGCAGGAATTGAAATAGGATTAAAGGAAATTGTTTGCAAAAAGATATATCTTTTTTATAATTATATTTATGCGTGTTTTGTAAAAATAAAATAAAATAATTCATCTATTTGTCTTTCATAATGCAAATAGACAGAAATTAATGTAGCGGATGCACGAAAGGACGAGATAATATTTTTAATGTACCGCACACGCGCGAAGTGGAGTCTTAATGCAATTTCTGCGCTAATGCAATATGTACGATTCGACGGGCGTGCAAATGGAATTATGTGTGGCGAAATCTGTGTAGAGAAAGTGGATTGTGAGGTTTTCCTATGCCTTTCCATAAAATCGTAAACATTGATAAATGGTTTTCTGCAATACGATAGATTTTTTCGATTCTATTTTTCTTATTTCATTTATTTCGTATCTATGTTTAAATTTTGTTTCACGTGTCAGTTGATTTGATACTTAATTATATAAGTTTGTGTTAGGTGAAATTGTAAAATTGTAAATTGAAATATTGTTACTGTCTTGTGCAAGTATTAAATCAATATTTTTAACAATTTTCTGAATGCGGAGGCACAGTATACATTCATTAATATAAAAATTTATTTAGGAACTAATAAAAGCCAAGCGCAAAAAGTATGCGCAACAAAATTATCTAAAAATCTTCTTTATCTTGTAAAGATTAGAACTCCTCGTTTCGTTTAGTTGATTTGATCTGATTTGTTAATATATTTTATTTCACTCTTACATAAAGATAGAATATTAACTATTTGAAAACCTTATATTTGTCAAAGAAAAAAAGAATATTCTTCATATATTTTATGTGGCCAGAAACAAAATAATTGTTTCTCTGACACCCTGCCGCTAATATTCTGGAGATGAGCAATTAAGCGGGCTATCCGCGATGTGTCGTATAAATTCCGCAGATCTAATCAATTGCGATAAATTCTCCTGGTCGCGATCAAGTTTCGCCGTTCGCAATTTACGATCTTGCCCCCTACTTCTGCCACGCAGGGGTGACGATCTATTAAAAACGTCTCTCGAGCCTATCTTTTTATCTACCAGTTTATCGACGCGCCACGTAAAATGATGATCGCCTATTCTCGCTTTTTTTTTTTTCTATCTCGGTCATTGACATTGTTGCATATCGTGGTGGAGGCGATTATTGCCGGCGACGGTTCTTCGATCGTGGTTCAGAAGAGAGACGTAACTCAGCCGTTGCAAAGTGGAACAAGCAGACCGATCCGAGATCGATAACGCTAGCTTCGCGTTTTCCTCATACTAACCTGTTATGTATAGAAGAGCGTAGAGCAAGAATGACGTATTTAATCGGATTAAAGGGGCGAACCCCGCGAACGCCGCCCACTTTCTTCTCTTTCCGAGGCAGGAAGCGAGTAATCGACTTCCAAGAGCGATTTCACCTTTCGCTTTATTGCAGCGCATCTTGTACATGCTCGCTTGTGTGCTTCTCTCCGCTTCTCGTCCTCTTGAGGGAATCGCCACTCCATTGACGTATCGCTACTCCTCGGAGATTTATTTTTTTTTAGCGAACTTGATATTCTGATGATAATGTCAATAAGAAAAAGAATAAAAGGAAAATAAATTTTGTTTACTTTATCTTCTGCCAGCCGATCGGATGTTACAATTCAAATATTTTTTTTATTTCGTAGGGAAGGAAGCACACACACATATACACATGAAAAGAGAAAGTTATCAGTCAGGTTTATATTATTTTCTTTGTCTATTGTCTTTCTTCTTTAAAATATTATAATTTTATTGATTCTTTAATATTTTAAATCTGATTTCCCTCTATTGAAATGTCAAGATACTAATAATTCTTAGCTAATAAGTACTTGTACTATAATAATCCCGAGCTTATTATAAGTGATGGACAATAATTGCGGATTAAGTTCCCGGGAGATAATTAAATGACAAGAGATCTTATAAATCATTTAATATCGCATGGGTTTAATTTTAATAATAATTTTAAATTTATTTTACATTGAATATAGAGAAAAGTTTTATCAAATAATTAAACTGATAGAGAAAGAGAGAGAGAAATCTGAATTCTTTCCTGTTGGTAAAAAACAAAGCACTAAATTAAAGATTAATATTCATGATAATAAATGGTGATATGTCTTGTAGCTTATTGTGCAAATAGTTGTAATAATAACCTTCTCTTGCAACAGTGGGGGAGAGTTATAGACACTTTGACCTATAGACAGTTGACTTTGCGGAATTATCTCTAAGGAAAGTTTCGTCTCATAATGAAAGGAAGTCTGCCGGGCACGTAACTGTGACCTTTGTAAAGTCGATTGTAGATTTCTCTCGGAGAAAATTCTCTTAACATGTACTATCGTTCGATGTATAATACTATCGTGCATTTTAAAAAGTATCTGACACATTTAAAGCAATTTTATCTTATATGATTTTAATTATTTGAATATATTATATGTACACAAAAAAAAAAAAAATTATCGATTATCATGTATGTGTTGTGTCTTGCGTGTCCTTTTGACAAACTCACACTCTAAGAGAATTGATTTTCGAAATGAAATTATGTCGCGCGACTATGATCCTTTGTCATCAATAAAAAGTCGCAAGAGATTTCATGGTATTTAAATATCGCTATAAATTTGCTGTTGGATATCGTTTTTCAAAGGATTGAAAGGTCACAATCGTGCGCAATCGTTCGCGAAACAATAGACATTCCTCTTTAGTCTTTTACTTGTTTTTTTTTTTCAATTCTTTCGAGCATAGGCAACGTATCCAGTGATCTTTGTAACAAAAACCTTCTCGGGATTCTTCGCAATTTGCGATAAATTAAATGAAAGCTTTGAAGCTTGA